AACCTAAAGTGCGTCATTTTACACTTTAGGTTATTATAGTCAGGGTGGCCACCCACCTGGAAAACCTTGAAAACCTGGAATTATCAGAGAATTTTTTTTATACTGGAAAAAACCTGGAAATACCAGGGAAATTTGGATAAAAATCTGGAAAAATCAGGGAATTTTTGAAGAAGAGCTGGAAATTTTTTCTTTGATCATTTTTTTAATTTCACCAATTTAAATTATTTACTAATTTTCTTAATTTGAATTATTTCATCCATTATACTCACTTTTTTTAAACGGAAATGTATCGCCAAACAATTGAAATATCATCAACTTAGCGATACTTTGCTTGCATCAAAATTTGCTCCATTACAGCTCTGTTAAACTAGAATGCCACATAAAATTCTGCCACGGTTGCTAAACGAATGTAGAAACCTTTGACCCCTTTGGGACTGAGCAATTTGGGAAAGATTCTGGTGGAGGTGGGAAAAGGGATTAGGAAATTAGCTTCTGTTTTTAATTTCTGTCCTCGGGCTGAATCCATTTATGGCTCAAGTTTGTTCCGATGCTTTGGTGGTAATTTTTTTTTCTACTTTGACAAAATGTTTTTGTATTTTTAACTTTATGAAATTCTCCAAAAATTAGTTGGTTATAATTTAATAATAATAGACTTTATATTGCACCCTTTTTCTGAAAGCTTTTCTAGTCCCATTCAAAGAAATCTATGAATTATTTTTTCTCAGCAAACCAACCAATCACATTTTTTTACAATCGCTAACAGCAATGTTTGTCGAAAAATCTTTACAATTGTTGCATTAATGATTTTTGATTCAAAATTTTGTACCAAAACATTAAAAATTAAAAAAAAAATCTTACCAAATTGTCAAAATAAATTATTTTTTTCAAGATGATATGTTAAAAAAATAATATTTTGAATAAAATATTTTATAATACCGACACTTTTCTTGTACACATCCTACACTTTATAAGAAAAAAGAAACAAAAACCTGGAAATTTTAAGATTTTTATCTGGAAAACCTGGAAAAATCAGGGAAATTTGTAATCTGATTTGAGTGGCCACCCAGTGCAACCTCAAACGTATTTTTTGACCTTTGGATAGGTTATTTTTTATGAACCCTAGGTGTTTGATGTTCTACTTCAGATTAATATTTTTTGGGGTCCATGGAGATCAAGATTTACAAGGAAAGTAAAAGTTTATTGACATTAAGCAGAAAAATCCATACAAATTTAAAAGGAACACCATCTGGAGGGATTAAAAAGGAAAAGTCTTCGTAACTATCTTTCTCTGGGAATGACAACAATCTCCCCCTGCTGGAACAATTTTATTTTTTGATACAAATAACAATACATATAAAAATATTATTTCTTTCGATATAATTTCAAATTATACTTTTTTTTTCAAAGAAAATTAACTTCGTAAACGTTACAGCTTTAGTTAAGAAATCAGAAATGTTATCATTAGTATTGTTATAAACAGTTTTCAATGCATTATCTTCAAGACATTCTTACAACCAATTCCCTTTCCGAATCACTGGTTAAATAATAGGAGCCATCGAAAGTGCGTGGTTTTTTCATGATCTAACTGCTAGCAAAACTACGGCCCGAATGGCCAAGACCCTGAAAAGGGAAACCTAGTCGTCCTTAAGAATTTAAATGCTATATATCAGGGGTTTCCAACTTACACGAGGCCAGGAGCCGCACTTAAAAACACCAGTCAAAAGGCGGGCTGCAACTTTATCAAAATTTTATATAGGACTCTTTTATGTCTGAAGGAACATTAAATATTACTGATAAATAGAACATTATATATATAATATTAAATATATTTTTATCAAATTGTACAAAACAAAAGTATTGAAGCATAAAATAAAATAAGTAGATTTTTAAAATTATTTAATTGTATAATAAAAAATTCTGGCTACTATGACTTTAATGTGCACCTATGTATTAAACAATTAATGTGCAACAGATAGGTTGCACAACTGACACTCATTGGCGCCTGCAACAGGGACCGAGGAAGTGTACTTGCATCCGAATGGAAACTTAATAAAATAAGAATTATATTTTGCTTTTAAATATAAAGTTTTTTTAACATTAAAAAATAAAATAACAAGCATTACAAATAATATAATTACGTATCATTTTGAATCTTCTCTTAATCAGAAACTTAATGACAAGATTTTTTTTTCTTTTAAATTTATTTTTGTGATAAATTAAAAAAATTTTCGACTTATTAGGAATCATAGCAAAAAAAAAATTCTCGAGCATCTGAAATTATTTTTTTTTCTTTTGCGCTCAGGCCATATTCAATTCAAAGAATTCAAATAAAGCATGATATTCATTACCTCTCTTATGCGATTTAAAATTTACAAATGTAAATAATTTCGTCCAAAATGAATGGTTTCAGTAAGTTAAATCGGAGAATTACTTCGAGAAAATTTCTGATTATGTTCACAAAATACAAAAAAAAAAAAAAAAAAAAAAAAAANAAAAAAAAAAAAGAGCAACATACACGATTATTTTTGTATTTGAATAAATATTTTCTCAGATGCAAAACATAAGAAATAAAATTTTTTTGCACCATTGGTATGTTAAATTTCATTGAGGCGAAGAAATTAGGCTTTTTTTTAACGAAAGAAAAGTATTTTAAACGTATATAGAATTTTACCGAAATTAAGTTCGCGGGCCACAAAAAAAGGCTTCAGGGGCTGCCAGTTGGTAACCACTGCTATATACAAATATTGATAGATAGATGGATATATATTTGTGATGTGTGTGTGTGAACAATGAGCAAAAAAAAACGGACCACCCTGAATAACTTTTGATCTAATGATTAAATCTTCACGTTCTATGACTCAATCTTAAATGTTCGAAGGGGTGATAAGTCCAGACGATATTTCAAATTACGAAATAAGACACAAAACGTAATTTCTCTGAATAAACATACCTTTTTTCGGATTTCTGACAGCCCAATATATAGGGGGTAGCCGCAATCTGGGGAATATGGTTCCCATAGTATGGTTAGGAAAGTGATCCAAAGTTATGACCCCTTAATGTTAATTTTACTTTTTGCGTATTTCGCCATATCTTGAGAAATTTTAAGGTGAATTGAAAAAAATTTTGCACACAATTATAAAATTTGTATATCCGAAGATAATTCCATACAAAAAATAAATTTTAGTAAATATTTATTATTTTTTATTATTTAATGAAATAATAGCCGAAAAATTATTAATTGCAATTTTTGCATCATTTTAAAGAATGCAATTTTATATAGCAAAATATAAAATTTGAGCAAAATCGATCGAATAGTTTATGATAAATTGAATTTCAAAAACGTCAGACACTTAAAATTCGATTTCTCAGGAACTATTCAACCGATATGTCTCAAATCTTGTATTTTGCCTTGCGAAATTACATTTTTTAAAGTAATATAAAAAAAATTTATACCTTACAATTAAAAAACTTTGAGCATTATTAAAAAAGATAATAAATGTTTGCTAAAAGTTATTTTTTGCATGGAATTATCTTTGGATAAACGAATTTTATAATTTTATAAAAAATTTTCAATTCGCTTATAAAGTTCTCGAGATATAGAGAAATACGCAAAAAGTAGAATTAACACCAAGGGTCCAAACTTTGGAGCGTTCCCCTGACCAAACTAAATTTATTTAGAGAAAGCAGATTTTTGTGTCTAATTTATCGTCTGCACTAATTAATTAGTATATTTGAAATCATCCCCTTGAGCCATCAAGATTGAGTCCTAGAACGTGAAGATCCGATCATCAGATCAAAAGTTATTCAGATTGGTCCGTTTATTCATTATTTTTCTTTATTGCTCACTGTGCACACTGGGGTTACAAAGTAATATTTAAGCGAAGAAAAACAAAGACGCTTTTGAAATCTGACAAATCACTACTTAGGAAGGCGGAGCATCCGAGCATGTTTGATTGCCGGAAGACAATTATTAGCTACCCGTTCAAGTTTCAACAAACTGAGCGATGTTTGACAAGACAAGGTTTTACCCCGTCGTCCTCTCTGATGATTCGACCGATTTCTCCTTTGCTTGATTGTTAACTAGTTTTTATGTCTAGGCTTTTTTTTCTTCTTTTTTTTCCATTAAGCGCGAAAACAGTATGTGAAAAACCACATCGTATTATTTATTTTTAACTTATAGTTGTTTTAACTTCAGTTGTACTTTTAAACAGAGATTGAGCTAATTTGATGACTAAGTTCTGAAAATTGGCAATTTTGAGACATGAAAGTTTAATAAATGTTAATTTATTTGTATAAAAATTTAAAAAAAGAATAAGATTGTTTGTAAAGTATATTTAATACAAAATTTTTATGAAGTATAGCTTTAATGGAAATCGCTAGGTTTAATAAGAAGGTTTAACAAAATCCAAATTTAGTAACATAAAATTTAATTTGTGGTTATGGAAAAAATATCGATATCTTAAATTGATTTTAAGTTATGCTAAAATCTTATATTTCACTTAAAAATAACATTATAAGCTTATAAAACAATGTTAAATCACGTCGATTTATTGAAGCAATAAAATTCAATTGAGAAGTTGTTGTTTGTTTGTTTTTTTAGCATATTTAAATAATATAACTCCGCACTTTTATGAAGGATATAAATAAAACCTGGGAGGGGAAAACTTGGTTAGGTTATTTCAGAGTCAAAATAAAAACATTATTTTATTTAATTAGTTTTGGTCAATTAAATTCGGATCGAGTAAAATAATTGTTTTTAATTTTATTAATTTATTTTTAGCTACACAGATAGAAAAAAAAACAGTAAAAAAATTTTCTTCCAAACGGTGAAAATTTTTCTTCGGGCTTTATTTGTTAGGTGTTAATATATGCTATTACATTTGTTACTTATAAATTCCTCTCGCAACAATTAAATTTCAATCAAAACAGAATAAGAAGTTTAAAATATAAATTTGAATCTGGATTTGAGTTCATTTTTATTGCAAGATTCAATTCAAACCGTATCCAGTGAAAAGAAAATCAAAGATTTTCCAACTTTTATACATGGTTTCTAGCTTAATTATTTTGCTTAATTGTTGTTCAAGATATAGTGAAAATTTTGTGTATTAGAGGCTTCGATTAACAATCTTATTTTAGCTGATTTGTGGGACATGCGCACAAATAATACTTAGGATTAATGTTTTTCAGCAATCTGAATCTATGTTATTATTCAAAAACCTGATTCAACGTATTTTGACTTGTTTTCTCAATTAAATACAGATAAGCATTGATGTAATATAATTTTTGCTTGTGGACGAAAATTACTTTGTGAGTGTAAAATATATTTTTCGTGTATTTTAACGTGTTGTAATGAAGGGGAGATATATTTTCCTCGTGCCGTTGGTGGAATACCAACAATAAAGTCAAATGATTCTAAATTGTGACAGATATATTTATTACAAGAATGCTATTTTCAATTCGAGTGAAAATGTGACTTAATATTTTTTCATCTTGTTTCTATAACATTTTTGGAAGATTTAGATTTTACTGGTTTTGTTTGTGAGTGAGAAATTTTGAACTTTGTGAGTGAGAAGAGAAAAGTTCAAGTTGCTTTCTGAGCCGTTAGTATTTTTGCTTTACTGAAGTAAGAATTTCCTCTTAATTTTCAATTTTATTACTTGTTTGTTGTTTTCTAAATGAATTCTGATTATAAAATTTGAAACATAAATTTGCTTAATGTAACGAATTTTCTATTGAGAGATTAGAAATTATTGTAGTAAATGAGAATGTTTATAATTTTATAGATAATCTCATTTAGAATAGTAGTCTTAAATTCTCTATTTTATTGCATATTGTTTTCTGAATAAGACTTAAGATAAATATTGAATGTAATATTTGAAACGTATAAAATTGCTTTGAGTCACAAATTTTGAAATGGGAGATTAGAATTTATTATTACATAATTTATAATATTAATATTAGATTCCTTAAAAACTTTCTTATATCGAGAAAACGAGTACTTCATACGCGTGTATATAAAGTTGAAATCGGTATAAGTATACGAAATCGGTAAATGCAAATGTATATCAGTGACAATACGAAATTTAAAAATTTTTTATTTACCTTTAAGGAATTTTTGCTGGGCTCAGTATCTTAATCAAAATTATTTTAGCCTGTTGAATTAAGAAAGCAATTTGCTTTTTCGAAATAAATTGTTTGAAATAATATAATTTATTAAATTAGAAAGAGAAAATAAAAACACTCAAATTTTAAAACAAATAGCTAATTGTAGCTTTTAGGACTTAACGTTGCAAAAAATTCTTTAAATTTATATAAAAATAATGACTTTAAACCGAGTTTTTAAATTAAAGGAAGCAAAAAATAATCACATAGTAATTAAAAAAGCTTAGGGTTTGATTGTCAACTTTCAACAATTTAATTCTTAACTTTCTAAAGAAACTTCTATTTTTGTTTGAAAGATTAGCATCAAATCTATTGATCAGGGCCTGTTATAAGGCCTTGTATCAATTTTTAAGCATTTCTTTCAATGATTCTTTTTAACAAAAGCCAGATGCTATTATTTAATGTACTATTAGTATGTGTATATGATACCAGCATGAATAATGTATTCTTAGCATAGGCCATAGACGATACATGGTGATTTATTATTAAGATTATTATCCATGCTATTCATAAACCTTGCATTTTTTTGCAATATTTATAAAAATTGCTTTCTTCCACGCCATTGAAGTTAATATAAGAATCATATAAAAAATTTTGTTTATGGAAGTTTTTATTGCAGTAAGTTTTAGGAGGAAATTTGCAAATATAAGTTTCAACTTTGAGAACTCGTTTAAAGGTTGAAAAAGAGATTGACCTGCTGTATGCAGGTTCCCTTTCTGACCAAATCATTATTGACTTTAATGCCGCAGTGTAAAAAAAGGGATCCATTACAGAGTGACAATTGTTGTAATTTAAGATTTGACATTTTAATATTATTATAGAAGAATAGCAACATATGCAAATTTGCTAAGAAAGCATACTACATTGCGACGCAGTAATTTCCCCGTCGTAGGCTGTTCTTTCTGAAAAGAGATTTGAAAAACACCCTAGAAAGGCCATTAAGGTGATAGCAAGTATGTTGTAACAAGCGAATACAAATAGATAATGTTAAAAAAGTAATAAAAAAAATTTAAAAAATGAAATCCATTTACTACGTTGTCATTTCTTTTCTCTTTTTTTTAAAAACATTTTTTGAAGAACTATTTTGATTTCTAGAGAAGAATGCTTTTACCTAAAAAATTAGGAGCCACTGTACTTTATAAAAGGTAGATATGTTTAAGCAGCAAGTTTTTGTGAATAAAATAAAATAAAGTGTACTACTTTTTAACGTCATCTGCTACGTTTTAATAGTAAGTTGTGACGAAGGGAAATAGGGGGCATGATAGATATTTAGGCAAGGAAAGGCGCATTCAGGATTTCTAAAAATAGCTGAAGAACATCTCTATTCTTCGGAAGAAGATAAATTAGCCGGTGATCGCACACACATTGCTTTAAGAAAAGGTGGGTTAATTACTATTATAAGGGGGAAACCATGTTTATTTTTCGATTTCCCTTATTGGTACCAGAAAAAAAAATGTCCTATTTTCACTTTTTCCATTACTTGATCAGCAGAAAATTGTTTTTCCTTAAAAAAAAAATTTTGTAGCTATACAATTTTGGCGATAATTTTTTCCTCGCTATGAATATACAATATTTGATTCTTTAATATTGACATTTTAACGGTAACTAAGAGATTTGTCGTATAATATCAGACTTCTCATATTATGCCACACTCGTTAAATCGAGCTTTTATTGTATTATCAAATAAATATGCACGATAATATCGCGATCATTATTAATAACAATGCATACCGAATACGATAATACCTCGATCATAATTAAATTACTATGATTATCGAATGTGATAAATATCGCGATCGTTATCAATGAATAACATCAAAAAGAAAAATCACAAATTTAACGATAATTATTTAAATCGATATTATTGCTAGTGTTGATGATTTTTACGTGGATAACGAAATTAACCGAAAAATTTAATAGATAAAAGTACGTTAAAATTAAATTTATAAAATAATAAAAGCTAACACGTGAGCTTTTAAACAATATTTTTCTTTTCAAATTTATCATTCATATATAATTTGACATAAAAGTTTGTCCGCTCTTGACAAATTGATTTATCGACATTTTAGTCACGTAAAAACATATTTAAATATCGGAGTTATTGATAAATTAAAAGGATAGATAGATAAGCTAAAAGCTAAGGATAAATCTTATCTTTTAACAATGACGTGCTATTGTGAGCTTTAAAAAATAATATCTTTGTCTTTTGATCATTTTGGTAACGACGTCAAAATTACAAAGATTATTATTTTTTAGAGGAAGACTAATAATTTTTGTAATTTATTTTAATCGAAATATTTTTGCATCTAATTACTTTCCTTCATCTTATGTATTTAATTAAGAAGAATTTATAGTGGACTAATTTTGGAAAAATGATGTAAGTTTCATTTTGAGTTTTTTACAACTTTAAATTATTATTTGTATTAATGTTGGGATCCTTTCATTTTATTTTGAGATGATTGTTTTTTTTACACAATTTACTGACAGTAAGATTGTTTTTTTTTACACAGTTCACTTTCAGTAAGATTCCTTTTATTTTTCTTTCTGAACCTCCTTTAAATAAAATCTACAAATTTTGCAAGCTTCGTAGGAAGAGTTTTCTTTCAAGCACAATCATAACGTCTAACATTTGAAGTTTATTCGAAATATTTTTTTCTGTTGATGGAATTAAAACAGAAAACTTTAACCAAAAAGAATTTTTATTAGATCTTAAGCCCAAGTGTTAATTTGACCTTTTATATGTCTTTTAAAATTACTCATATGTTATGATGGACAATTTCTTTTAGAATATAGTTTATTAAAATACTACCTTTGCTATTGCTACGAAAACAATTTTCTGAAATATGGATATTCCATAGTTTTGAACAATATGCACAATAGTAAAATCTCTCCCCAAAACACTGTTTAAAATTTTTCGGATTTAATTTGTTGAAATTTTATTTAAGCAGTGCTAAAACTAGTAATAAACTATAATTTAAGATTAACGCGTTATTAATTACATATATTAGTAAACGTAGGAATTTTTATCTTAACATTGCTTAACAATTCAGAAAATGGCAAAAATAATAAGTAAAATTTTTTATGAAAATTAAACTAGTTTTAAATGAAAATATCGTTTTCAAAAAATATTTTGAAAAAAGATGTCATAAATTAATCGAAAATATTATGAACTTAAAGTACTAAGTTCTATCGATTTATTTGGGTTTATTAAATATCTCTATCTGCACATATACAGTACCGCTCAAAAGTATCAGTACACCTAGAAACTTATAAAAAAATGGCAAAATTCAAAGTGTCATAACTTCTTTAAAAATGATCAAAAATGCTTCTGCTTTAGCTCATTTTGAAGCTTAAAATCTCTACTTTTATGTAATTTTATTGTTTTTAATTAATATATTTTGCAACTATGTACAATTACACTCTAAACAATCATAGAAAATTGTATTAATTTTTTGTGAAGTTTGACGCGATGTACGGGCACAAAGGGGTTAGATATTGTTAATTTTTATTATACCATTGAAAAATTTGGACTTTTAGCTTTCATTTAAAAAAAAAATTCCAAAAAAACATGTTTTTTGACGAAGTTATTGTCAAATAAAAAAAAAGTTTTTTTTTCAGAATTTAATGATTTTTCAGCAATTATAATGAATTCCGCACAGGAACTATTTAGGTTCGTCCTCCTACCTTCGGTCTTCGATCCATTAACCAGCATAAATCATATGTGGAAAGTCCTTCAAGAGCAGTGGCGAAAAATAGACAAGATAACATTAAAAAAGCTGATTGATCGGATGCCTCGAGTGTGTGCTGCAGTTATAAAAGCGCGGGGAGGATATTTTGAAGAAAGCAAAATATGATGTAAAATATTTTTTCATTATTACATTTTTGTTTTCAAATTTTTTCTGAGAAAAATACGAAAAAATAAATTTCAAAATATTAAATTGTAAACGTTGATTCTTATTTCATTATTATATTTTCCAAAAAAAAAAGTTAAAATTGTTATAATAAATTATGAAATAATATTATCGAGAAATATTAAATTTTAATTTATTTTAATTAAAAAATTTTCATATCATATTATAATTACACTAAAATTCATTATAATTGCTGAAAAATCATTAAATTCTGAAAAAAAACCTTTTTTTTTATTTGACAATAACTTCGTCAAAAAACATGTTTTTTTGGAATTTTTTTTTTAAATGAAAGCTAAAAGTCCAAATTTTTCAATGGTATAATAAAAATTAACAATATTTAACCCCTTTGTGCCCGTACATCACGTCAAACTTCACAAAAAATTTATACTATTTTCTATGATTGTTTAGAGTGTAATTGTACATAGTTGCAAAATATATTTATTAAAAACAATTAGAGTACATAAAAGTAGAGATTTTAAGCTTCAAAAAGTTCTAAAGCAGAAGCATTTTTGATCATTTTTAAAGAAGTTATGACACTTTGAATTTTGCC